AGAACTACACCACCTTTGTCTCTGGGTAAGTATATTTTATGGACGGTGCAGTTTCTCTAACGTCAGCAGCTTTCTGTTTGAGCTGATAGTCAGCGTCCCTAACCCTAACCCTAACCCTAACCCTAACCCTAACCCTAACCAGCGTCCACCTTGACCCGGAGGTTTGTGTCAGTTTGACTTCATAAACTTGGCCTTTACCCACTGAGGCGGAGACTGGGGGTTCAAACACTTCTGATTTTAGTTTTTGCTCATTGTGACCTTGATGACCTGATGTCTTCTTCTTTAGAGGGACAGATTAAAAAGCTGACAGTTGTTTGTGTTACTGTGGAACGAAATAAACTTCTTGAAAATGAAGCTTCAAGGATTCAAATTTGTTTTTCTTTGATGGCTTTCAAAGAGTGAGTCAGACCTTCTGAAAAGGATTATTGTAACTTTCTGTTTTTTGGTCATAACTTGATTATGAACATTGTTAACAGTAGGTTAATCTGTTATTAAGGCAAATTTTACAAAATGCTGAATATTAAGACAATATAAACACATTCAAGCATAGTTTCAAAAGTTTTTTTAAAGAAAACATCCAACATGTTCAAAGTGTCATGGTGATAATGCGCTTGTGAAATCAAATATTACACGTGAGTACATGCTCACAGGGACGTGGTAGTGACGATATTATTTTGATATGTTCTCAGTTTTTCAGTTCAAAACGTAATTTATCTGAAAACGTGAGAACATGTCACAATAGTACTGCGTGTATTGATGTTTCCACATTAAAATAAATTGTAAAAACAGCTTTTTACAACTTGATCTTTTAGTTTGACGAACTTTTACATTTGTTTCTTTTTTTTCTGTTTTAAGCAGCATGAAAAGTGTCTTGACGTTCATAAATAAAATGCATTATAATATTATATTTTATGATTTTATATTATGTAAAGGGGGGACAGAGGTTAGAGAAGGAGAACCTGTGATCGAAGGTCGCTGGTTCAACTCCCCGGACCGACAACATTAAAATATGTGTGGGAAAAGGTGAAGCACCCACACCTGCCTCCGCCTTCATTTGCCCCACTCTGGGCCCTTGAGCAACACCCTTAACCCCCACCCTCTGCTCCCCCGGGTGGTCTAGACGCAGCTCTGCTCCACACAGAGGCTGTAGTAGCTCGGTGGTTTGCGGTTGAGTCAAGAAGAACGTAAAAACCTTCACCAAGTCTTTGTGCGAGTTAGTCCTCAGTGGCGACCCCTGAAGAAGGAGCAGCTGAAAGAACAAAACAACAAAATGGCTTTCTAAATATAAATTTTAATAAAAATGTGCTGCTTTTTTTAATAGAATGGATTATTTTTGTCCCAGCTGGTGACAGAAATTCTTCAGGTGCTTCGTGAACAGGCCTTCCCACATAACTGCAGCACAAGCAGTTTCAGTCACTGTTCAAAGAAGAGCCGTTCTCATTTCAAGGAGTTTAGAGTGAATGTTGTGAATTGTATGAATATTTTCTTGTAGATGTTTTTCCAGGCCAGTGGAAGCTCAAACCTTCTGCCCGATGAGTCCTCGTGACTCAATGAGACATACCTGCATAAATACAAGTTGAATGAATGAATGATGGGAACAATGAGGGATGAAGAGGGTGAGGTAAATGTTTTAGGTCTATTATGCACAGTCACATTTTAAATTTGGAATAAAATTTAGATCATTCTGTTTAAAGTGATTTAATGAGCACATTTCGTGTTTTCTTTGTTCAATGAACTTAGAAAGCCTTGTTGTTTCTTTTTACCTCAAACGTGAACTGAAGCTTGCCATGTCTGAAGACGGTTAATATTATTTTGTTTTGGCTGTAAAGACAAACTTTTCCCAGAGGAACCTGGTTCTTCCTGCAGAAGAGAGCGGTGGTGTTCCCACTGAACAGGCTCTCGCTCTGATACAAGCTGTTTGTGCCGTCTTTGTGGACACGTTTTTATTTAAAATCTTTGCCTCGCTCACTTAAAACAGCTACACAAGTTGAAGAAACACAGTTTAATGATCAGAATGATCGTTCTGGGTCCAGCACACACAAAAACAATGACCCAGGTGTTGAATTTTCTTAATATGAAGGGAGGTTTACTTCATATGATGTTCTTAAATAAATTAAGGGTTTTATGGCAGCAGAGGGAACAGAGGAAAGTCAAGAATGCAGGACTGAAGGTGGACTCTCTAAATGTGGGGACAATGACAGGCAAATGTTGAGAGCTGGCTGACATGATGCTGAGAAGGAAGGTAGATGTATAATGTGTGCAAAAAGCAGCATAAAGGCAGAGTTTAAGCTGCTCTGAGTGGATAGGAAGAGAAATGGAGTAGTTTGCAAATAATGTAGTAGAGGTGAAAAGAGTGTCAGATGTCCCCCATCCAGAGGACTTCCTCAGTCTATGGCCTGCCAACCAAATCTGTCCCACTTTTTCTGAACCACTTTGTCTTTGGTTGTCCTCAGTCTGTTTTTGTGAGAAGCAAGTCGGCCATCTGGCCTAACACAGTTGATTGTTGTTCATGATGATTGATTGTTTTGCACGTGTCAAAATAAAAGTCTACTTCTGAGATTCAAACAGGAGGTTGTCTTGAAACACAGCAGTGAAGGCTACTTATGGGACAGATCTGTTTGGCAGGTTGTAGACTGAGGAAGTCCTCTGGATGGGGGACAAAATGGTTCTAACTTAGAGAAACTGGTCCAGATGACACAATCTAACCTTTTTTTGTTCTTATCCACCTGGATGATTGAGCCTACAACTTTTTTTTTTAACTGATCCTTCAGTTGCTTATAGAAACTTTGTGAAATCATTTTTTTAACACATTTTCATTCCACCCTGTTGCAACAGCTAAAATAAGACAATCAGTGAACTAACGGTGTTTAAACCTAGAGGTGCTGTAACTTGTGACATGCTTCCTCGCGTTGCGGGTGGGCAAACATTTTTTATCAGTAAAAGAGATGATAAGGTTATGAGTCAGTTTACACAGCTCAAACAAACAGGGGCAGGATCCAGGTTGTCTTGGGCCTCAAATTTAGAACGTAATCAAAAGGAAGACAAACACTATGATTACTTTAACTTTAACATTGAATGTAATCACAAATCCAACTGTTAAAACTTATCAAAGATACTCACGTCACAAGCTTAATGCCGTTATTGAACAAATCAAACATTTCTAGTTCCGTTTTATATCACATTTACAGTTTACTACCAATATAAAAGAAATATAGCTTCAACTTCTGAGAGTAAAAGTATGACATACTTTTGACGACAGTTATAAGAAAAATATAAAGTGTGCGGCACGGTGGAGCAGCTGGTCGAGCTGCCGTCTCTCAGCGAGGAGATCGCCGGTTCAAATCCCCGTTGGGGGCCTTTCTGGTTAGTTTGCATGTTCTCTCCATGTCTCCATGACCAGAAAAGGAAGAAGCGGGTAAAGATGATGGATGGATGGATGGATGGATGGATGGATGGATGGATGGATGGATGGATGGATGGATGGATGGATGATGGATGGATGGATGGATGAAAAATATAAAGACATGTAGATAAACAGAAGTATGACTTTGCAGAGAAAAAATAAACAAAGCAACAATAAACTGTGTTGAATTTAGAATAAATTATAAGAAACATGGTTATTAAAGCATTTTCAAAGGAAGCCTCCATAGTGAAGATCAGAAGACTTGTTGTTTTCGCTCTCTCTCTCTCTATATATATATATATATATATTGTTTTCTGATATAAGTCTCAAACTTGTCCGAAATGCCAACAAAACCAAAGGGATGCTTTTTTCAAATAGGAAGTTGGTCCCAGCAGTTCTTCCTCAGATTTTATCCTCAAATGGTGTCCCCATTGAGTTTGTTGACTCCTATAAATATTTGAGTATCTTGGTCGACTCACATCTCTCTTTTAAGCTCCATGTGGAAAACTTGGTGAAGAAACTGAAAGTTAAACTGGGTTTCTTTTTCAGAAACAGATCATGTCTAACCCTGAACCCTGAGGAACACCTTGTATCTGTGACTTCCCTCCATTGATTACGGTGACATTATTTACATGAACGCTCCTACAAGAACCTGCAGATGTTGGATGCTGCAGATGTTGGATGCTGTCTATCATGGTGCACTAAGATTCATAACTGGCTGTGATTATCGTACCCACCACTGCACCCAGTATTCACTGGTTAACTGGTCACCATTAACTTCACGCAGACTCTCTCACTGGTACATTTTCATCTTTAAATCACTTCTTGGTCTGCTGCCTTCATACATCTCCTCCTACATGTCTCTGTGTGAGTGCAGCTACAGCGTGCGCTCTCAGGACATTATTACCTGCAGTGTTCCCTCAGTGAGGACTGAACTAGACAAAAGGGCCTTCTCCTACTCCGCTCCTGTTTCCTGGAATACCTTACAAAAAGATCTGAAGCTCTCGACCTTTGACCTCTCTAAGTGGCTTTAAGAATCTGTTGGACTCCTGGCAGGGACCAATGCAGACACGTTCCTGTTTTTAGTTTTATACATTTGTCTCGGAATCTAGCTGTTTTGCTATTTTATTTGGCTATCTTAATTGTAAAAAAAAATAAAAAAAATAAAATCTGTATGTCTTTTTCTAACTGTCCATTGTTGTCATCATTCTTTGTTGAAATCAGGTCTCTCTTGTAAATGAGTCCTCGAGGCTCATTGAGACTATGAATAATGTTAAATCAAATTAATAACTGTTTTAAGAGAAGGTCAGGTCGTGATCTGAGCAGAGTAATGAATCAGAGTTCAGTATCTTCTGACATCAGCTGATGGCGGTCTGTTTGACTCCAGGCCTGGCTGATTTAATCAGGTGAAACAGTCCACGTGCACTACGAGGGGAACAAAGACGTGAGCAGTGCTTGTGACCACACTCGTTCCTTCACGGTTATAAGATGGTTCAGGAAGCCGCATGGCTCCACATCCTCCTGGATTTTGCTTTAGGTGGCACCCCCCCAGTTTTTCATCCATCGTGTCCGAGCAGCTTCAGCTTGTTTGGGAGTCATGGGGGCGCTGATCTTTTTTCTTCAGTCCTTTAGCCCAGCCTTAGTTTTTGAGGTTGTGGTTTTTCTGTTGCTCTTTTATTTTTATTTTTTCATTTTCTGTTCTAATAAACACGGACAGGAACCGCCAGGACCAAAGCCCCTTCCTCTGATCGGCAACCTGCTCCAGCTGGATCTGAAACATCTCGACAAAACATTTGTGGAGGTAAGGCAGCGCTTCACCAGAACACGTTTGAGTCGTCTCCTTTAAAAATGTTTAAAATAAGCACAGAACACACAACTGGTGTTAACATATTTAAATAAAAGTGAATCAGAATAATAAATAAAAACAATAGCAAATAAACAGTTAAAGAGCGTTCTTGAAATTTATATTGTGTTGTGTTTTTTTTAACATTATCTCGTATATATTATCTTTATATTGTATGTGTTGTAGATTTTGTTTTTTTAAAAAACACAAATGTGTTTTAACAGTTCAAAACTGTTGAACTGAGTTCAGGTGCATTATTTAAAAAATATATATTTTAGATTTGATGCAGATAATTTAAATAATTGTGATTTTTTTTTGCATTGTATACACCTGCTATGATGAAGAATCATATTTGACTGTTAAAAATATTAACAGGCATGCAATACAAATTTGAACATCTGCTCACAATAAGTTCCCTGAACTTCTATATGAAGGTCAACAACAAAACAAACTAATAGATTAAATATGATTCTATTTGTTATAAATGTACTTTTTGTTCCATTACAGTTGTCCAAAAGATACGGGTCTGTATTCACGGTCTACATGGGACCAAGTAAAGTGGTGGTCCTGGCAGGCTACCAGACTGTGAAAGAGGCTTTCGTTAACTACGCTGAGGAGTTTGGAGACAGGGAAGTGCCTCCGGTCGTGAAGGACGCTAACCTGGATCATGGTGATGGAAAACTTGAAATATCTCATGCACTTCATGCACAGCAGTTCATATCTTGTATTATAAGATCTTCATGTACAGCAGCTTCTTGATGGAAAACGTCTTCGTCTGCTTCAAACAGGGATTGCATGGGCAAACGGAGACTCGTGGAAAGAAATGCGCCGCTTCGCTTTGGCAAACCTGAAAGACTTTGGGATGGGGAAGAAAGCGTGCGAAGACAAAATCATCGAGGAATGTCAGAACCTCATTCAGGAGTTTAAAAAGTTCAAAGGTAAGAGAAGTCAGAAATGAACAGGAAAATACAAATATTTATCAAACTGTTGTACTGCCTGTGATAATAAAAGTGCTTTGTTCTTTATCACAGGTGAACCCTTTGAGATGACCCAACTCATGAACTATACAATTTCTAACATAATCTGTTCCATGGTGTTTGGAAACCGATTTGACTATGATGATCCAGAATTTCAGATGATTGTAAACGAAACGATCAAAGGCTTTGTTCTTTTTGAATCGCCTGCAGTAAAGGTGATGCATCTCTACAATGAATATAAAAACTACGTGAATTCCTCAGATTTCATTATTGAATAACGTGAAAATAAACTGCTAAAGGACTTGTATTAAAAAAAAAAATCTAAATTATGTTTTGTCTTCTGTTTTGTGTGTTCATCAACAGTTGTACAACTTCTTCCCAAGAATTGGTAAATTGTTGATCTCAGCCAGGAAACAAACAGTAAAAATCTTTGAAGCCACCAACAAGCAGCATTTAAAGCTGATAAACTGCTTAAGAGAAACCCTCAACCCGCAGATGTGCAGAGGAGTTGCAGATGCCTTCATGGTCCGTCAGCAAAAGGTAAATCTTAAAGTCCTTGCTGTTGGCTTCGAATTCAAAATGACCTGATTTTTGTCCCCAGCCGTGAACTGTACAGTTCATTTGTTTCAATATTTGATGTCTGTGAGCGTTTGCTGGTGAAGAGTCTCCATGATCCAGGTCACGGTAAATCCAAATAAAGGTTAAAAAACAGAACAACTGGACTTCTGTTCTCTAGTGGAAGACTTTGGTTTCCCATTTATTAATTCAAAAAAATGTCTGGCGTGTGTGGACTTCCAACTCTTAGGGTGCATTCACACCAGCCCTTTTGTCCAGAACTCTAGCCCGTTTGCCTAGAAAGTCCAGTTCATTTGGGGAGGTGTGAACGCGCCATCGAACTCTGTCAAGGAACAAAAAGGTGAACTCTGGCCCGCCTAAAAGCCTAGGTCTCAGTCCGGTAGAAGAAAACTCGAGCGCGGTTTGAGTACAGTGTGAATGTAAACAGACCGGGCCCCGCTCCGGAAGCAGGAAGTGGAGTACAGCGCAGGGCAAACACGCATTTCTCTGACCTCATATGGAGCCGTCAGCTGCCTTGTGTGAAAAACAACATTCTCCATGGTCTTCTGCCTCATGTTCCACTCATGCTGAGTCCATTTTTGTTTTTATTTCCAGAAGAAGACGTGTCTTCAGAGGTTTTTGTGTTGTTTCTTTCAGTAGTTCTTGGTGCAGCGCCCCCACAGGCGAGCGGGGGAACAAGTTGGCTCGACTGCACAGTGCAGTGTGAATGCAAACGCACCAGCTCAAATGTAACAAAAGGTCATGAATATTGGTCCAGAACCGAACCGAGTCTACCGGACTATCAGGTGTGAAAACAACCTAAGAGGACTTTTGTTTTTAGATTCATCTGCAGGTTAGACTGGAGCCACTCGCCCTCAGAATGGAGGCTTGTTATGTTCTTTGTCTGCCTGGATCTGAGAGATGTTTGGGTCACCTGCATGAAGGTGTGAATTAGACTGGAGATGAATCAGGCCTAAGGCATTGTAGCTTTTTTAATGTTGAACTCTGAGACCTCCTCCTCTGGTGAAAGTTGGGTTTCATTGTTTGTTTCACCCCCTCTCAAACATTTGTCTTCTCTGTCTACAATATGAACATTTTGGTCCCAAAAAAAGTGTTCCTTATTCTTGAGATGTAGATAGACATCTAAGTCTTGTCTTGAAGACGTTCTCGGTGCAATGCCAATAAAGTTCATTCTGATTCTGAAGACCTGCCCTCCTGTGTTGAACCACTGTGGAGTGGTTCTTTAGTGTCTCCAATAAGAGATGTGGAATTCATTGCATTCTGTTTTTATTTAGATTGTAGTTCTATCCATCCATTCACCCATCTGTTATCTTTACCTGCTTCTTCCTTTTTTGGGTCGCGGGGGTCACTGGTGTCCATATTCAGCAATCACTGCGCGAGAGGCGGGAGACACCCTGGACAGGACTCCAGTCCATCACAGGGACACCTGGAGACAAACGAAACAACCATTCTCTCTCTCTCTCAAGGTTCTCTTTATCAAGGTTTTTGAGTTGAACTGACCCCTCACATGTGGACTGTTACCATGTTAGACCCCAGAAAACTTAACTCCCAGGATCATGGGTGTACTCAAACCCCTCCCCCAGGTTAAGGTGCAATTTTGTGGAAGAGTAACTTGTTCTCTCAGTTTCTTCAAGTATCTAAGGTATGAACAGGCAAGGCTGACAAGAAGGTACCCCATATATATCTGGGGTCCACAGTCGACCAGGTGTAGGACAAGATCTGCATTAGAGTTCTATGAGGAGACTTGATCTCTCCACGTTAACGGTCTTTGCCCCTGTCAGTTTCATTTACAGTGATGTCACATCAGATTTGAGCAACTTGTCTGAATGAGAGCTGATGTTCACCTGCAGGAGTCTGGACTCCCCAACAGTCTCTACCATGATGCAAACCTGTTGATAACCGTCATGAACCTGTTCACTGGTGGAACTGAAACATCATCGTCCACATTAAGATGGGCTCTTCTGTTCATGATCAAGCATCCCAAAATACAAGGTGAGACTTTGGATGTGCAAAATCAATATACGTGTTACATTTGAAAACAGATGTTTACATGCACCAACAAAAGACAAAACTTCTTTTTTCTCATTGTCATAATTTTACTTATTTATCTTATAACGAATGTCCACTATTGTTTCCGGTGGATACATTTCTAAATATTGAGGAAGATGTTTTTTATTAATTCAAAAAGCGTTCAATACAAAAAGTATGTTTTTTATTACTTTCTTCAAAGTCACGTGTTCGTGACTGTATGACTTGGGTCAAATGTGTTGTCCCGTTCCTCCTGAAAGAACTGGAGTACCTGAGCCAAGTTGATGAGCTGCCTTTCTCTTGCACTCCTTATTCAGCTCTGCTGACAACTTTTGATAGAACTGAGAGAAGAACTTTGTGATGGCCAATTCAAAACATTGGTTCTGTTGTCGTTGAGGCACTTTGAAATTGATTTGGCATCATGCTTAGAGTTAAGCTTTCTTATTTTTTTTAAAAGCATCTCAGTGTATGTAAACTTGTGACTTTGGAAAGCGTAATGAAAATTTATCTTCATTGTTTCTTGGGCGTTTAGCCAATAAATTATTTTTAGGATCCACACAGAACTAGAACACAAAGGTTTAGTATGATTTAATTTCAGACGGTGTAAAAAAAGAGGTTCTATTTTTATACTGTGTATGTAAACATCTGGTTTCAACTGTAGACCTGTACAGCACAATACTTATGTTGTTTTGTCATGTCATTCTCCTCAAAGTGAATTAAAATTCATTACTTTCAACCTCACTGTCCAGACAAGGTTCAAGAGGAGCTAAACCGAGTGATAGGAAGTCGTCAGGCGCAGCTCCGGGACAGGAAGAACCTGCCTTTCACAAACGCCGTCATCCATGAGACACAACGGCTAGCCAACATCGTTCCTTTGGCTCTCTCTCATAAAACCTCCCAAGACGTCACCTTCCAGGGACATTTTATTGAAAAGGTCAGACAATACTGCTTTAAGGTGTACAATCCTGTGATCAACAAATGAGACACAATAAAGTTTTGGAGATTAGAGCAATCTGTGCCATGAACTGTCATAACTAAATCCATCCATTATCTTTACCCGTTTATTCCATTTTGGGTCACGGGGGTCGCTGGTGCCCATGTCCAGCAATCACTGTGTGAGGGGCGGGGGACACCCTGGGCAGGTCTCCAGTCCATCACAGGGACACATAGAGACAAACGAGACAAACAACCATTCACTCTCTCTCACACCTAGGGACAATTTAGAGTTACCAATCAGTCTAACATGCATGTTTTTGGTCTGTGGGAGGAAACTGGAGTACCCGGAGAAAACCCACGCATGCACGGAGAGAACATGCAAACTCCACCCAGGAAGGCCCCTGGACCGGGGTTTGAACCAGGGACCTGCTCGCTGAGAGGCAGCAGCTCTACCAGTTGCACCACCGTGCTGCCCATGGAAATTTCCAAATTGGGCAAAAACATATAGAGAGAATTTCAATTAGGAAAGATTTTTAGATTAAAAAAAATATAGAAACAAAGTATGAGTAAATCATCACTAAATAACATCTTTTTTGATTAATCAGATTTATAAATAGTGGTTCTGTAATCATAAATATTGTAGATGATTATAGAAACTTTGTTAAAACCATGATAAATGTGTGTTTTTAGGGAACAACAGTAATCCCTCTCCTAACATCTGTCCTGCATGATGAGCATGAATGGGAGAAGCCAGAGAGCTTTCATCCTGCCCACTTCCTGGACAAAGATGGAAACTTCCTAAAGCGTGATGCCTTCATGGTTTTCTCTGCAGGTTTGTAAGTTTAATTGTTTAAAATTATTTTAACTTTACAGACATTATCTGAAGAGCTGTCTCTCTCAGGTCGCAGGATGTGTCCTGGAGAAAGTCTGGCCAAGGCGGAGCTCTTCATATTCTTTGCCACGCTCCTGCAGCACTTCCGTTTCACTCCTCCACCTGGAGTTTCAGAGGAGGACCTGGACCAGACTCCTACAGGGGGCTTAATTCTCAACCCTCCTCCTCAAAAAGTGTGTGCTGTCAGCCAGATGTAACGAGAAGGCCTGATGTGGTCAAAGGTTACTGACGCTTCATCAAAATGAAGATGAGCCTCCTGCAAGATAACATTTTCTTCAAGCAGTTTAGTTTTACATTTAATACATCAAAAGGTCTTCTAATTTTATTTCCTTACTTTTAATTAACTACAGGTGCAAAGTTAGAAGCATTTGTGTCATGAAAGTTCAGAAATGTTTCATTTTGGTTTTAATATCTAATTTCTTCCTGAACAAAATGAGCTCAGTTGTGCTTTTGTCAAACTGCTACTTCTGCTCTGTTTTTATGCAATCATCTTAAAACTGCAACTTGTAATAAACTACACACCTATAATCTCTCTGCTCTTTGTTTCTAACTGATCAAATGAGGACAGTTTTTCTTTTGAGAACTTGAAGAGCCTGGTCTTCACCTGAAGCCAACTGCAAGTTGCTCTTTCTGCAGATGTCAGATGACAAACCTTCACGCAGATTAAAACCAGCGTTATTTTAATTCGTGAACGAGCTCATGCACAGATAGGAGCTACAGTATTTGTGCGTCTCTGTGGAACATTCTTCTGGATCTGCTCGACCTCTTTTTAACGATCAGAGCTGATGAGTCCAGATCCAGCACGAACAGAAGCAGCTGCATATTTGTTGCTTTTGATTTACGTGAAGTTTTAATTTTAATTTTTTGAGCTGATGGTCATAAATCAAATCAGGCACCACTGCAGCAGAGCCTCAAACAGCGTGGACTGTTTTTGAGTCTTGAGTTTTGACCTTTCTGAGCCAAAATAAACAATATATAAATATATATGAATGTATAATACACACTTTATAATTTGGTCAGTGCCTGTTTAACACGTCATAATTTAGCAGCAGTAAACTGGTTTTACTTGTTTTTTTACGCAGCCTCATTGGGAACTTATTGAGAAACAGGTCTCGTATTGATTTTCTATTGGTCCTGATTGTCTGTGTTTTGATTCAATTCAACCTTTATTTCTACAGGTTAGTGTCATTGAGCCTTGAGGACTCATTAACAAGAGAGACCTGAGTTAAAGAAACAAACAAAAAAAAACACAGATGATAACTGTAGACAATCATAGAAAACATATCAAATGAAAAGTAAATGGAAGAAATGTTATATAAAAACAAACAGCTGCATCATAAAGCGGCGTGAAATACTAAAAGCAGGAACAAGTCCGTGTTGGTTTCTGCCATGAATTTAGCAGTTGTTTAAAATCCCTTAGAGACGTCAAGGTCGAGAGCTTCAGACTTTATGTATGTGATGTCCAGCTTTTTTTTTTTTTCCTGCTATTCTACGGTGAATCCAGACGTGGTTCCTCCACCACCACCACCCGCTTCCCTGCTGCGCTCTTTTGTCCTGTGAACCCTTAAAAAGCCTCTTTTTTTTCCTGCATACCTCGTTAATTGGAAGGATCAGCTGGTCTCTCAACAAAATCGATCAACTTCTCCCGACAGGAGTCAGGGTAAGGAGGACCCTCTGAACTCTAGAGGACAAATTGGATTCATGATGACGACTAGAATCTACTGTTTGGGTTTGTTGGAATCTGGTTGTCTACAACTGTCTACAACAGTGCTCGGACTGAATGTGGAGCTGTGACAGGGAATTGGAGCAGCTGTATCAGGACTGTGTTCTCCCTGGCAGCACTCATGAATGGTGGAATAATCTGGAGAAGCTGTGAGCTCGACTTTTGGAGTAAAGGATCAATTCGGCTGTTTTGGAGTTTCCATCAGAGAATATGTACCAATGAGACTTTAAAGGCAGAAACAACAATTCACGAGTTCTGCCTGACCCAAACTGTGGCCTTGATGCCGGACTTATCTCAACTCCTCCTGGAATGTTTGGAAAACAACAAAGATGCTTTGACTGTTTCCTCACCCCTCCATCCCCCAAGGCCGTGGACATAATAATAATAATAATAATAATAATAATAATGTCATCACAATGTCAGCACTGTATGTTTCCATACAATGGTGAAATTAGTCTCTGCATTTAACCCATCCACCACCAGGTGGTGCAGTGGACAGCTATTGAAAGCACCCGGGGGGCATTTTGGGGATGAGGTGTGCTGCCCAGAGACACCACGTGATATGCAGTGACTGGGGATCGAACCTGGGACTTACGAACCTCAACTGAGCTGAAGATGAACGTCACCTCTTATCTGGACAATGGCTGAGGGGGGGCTCTGGACTATGCTACGACTTCCCTTAAAAATTCAATGTCTTCACCGCCTATATGTTCATGTATAACATCTGTTTATGTTGCTTTGCTGTGGGAGGTTTGTTTGATGCATCAAATTGTGCCCCGTCTAAGACACGGTGTGAGAGATTTTTTTTTTATACCGTCTCTCCTCATGTTTTCTTTCCTTTTCTTATCTAAGCAAAATATTATTCTGAATAAGAATAAGAGGGCCGCGCTAATTATTTATAGCCGCAGCTTCGTGCACTACGCCCATCTTCGGACGACTGTACGTACATGTTCGCGTTGTATCTCGGTGCAATGCCAATAAAGTTTATTTTGATTCTGATTATGTACAATATGTGATGTATTTTATGTACCGTATTTTCTGGAGTATAAGTTGCATCAGTCAAAAAAATCATCATGAAGAGGAATAAAAACATATATAAGGCGCGTGCATCGTGAGCATGCATCAGGATATATAAGTCACATTTATTATGCGTCACCGCTGACCCGTCGTGTTTATTATGCATTTATTTAATGGTTAAAACAGCTTCATTTTGCCTGGGTGGCTCCATCCATCCATCCATCCATCGCGGCCGGAGCCGTTAGCGCTCCAGCATTTCTCCGCCTGAACCAGCTGAGTGAAGCGAGCATGCACGGGAGGTCTCGCTGTTGCATTCCTTTGAAATTTGAAGCGTCAGACAAAAACTGTGTTATGAATATGAAAAAAAAAACTTATATAAGCTGTTTTGACGTATGAGTCTCAGGACTGACAAATCTATGCAAAAAACTGTGACTTGTTCACGGGAAAATACGGTGTGTGATATATCTTCTGTATGTGACGCACTTACATTGTTTTTAAGGTTTAAGACACAAGTCATGGTTTCCTTTTTCCACAAACCCACAGGAATATGTCCAGTTGAGTGAATAAACTGTATCAAGTGTGCTATTACATACACATTGAGGTGAGGCTACGAGCTAACGCTAAAGCCGGTAAACTCCCCATGCCGTCTCTCTTTGTGTCGAATGTCCGCTCGTTGGACAACAAGATGGATTTACTTTGTCTGAGAGCGGGCGCCTCAGAAGAGATGAAGAAGTGTGCAGTGCTTTGCCTCACGGAAACGTGGATTACAAGCGAAACGCCGGACTCAGTCTTCCAGCTGCATGACAGACTTTTTTTTCGAGCGGACCGCTGCAGCGAGCTAACGGGGAAATCACGGGGAGGCGGAGTGTGCATTTACGTGAGTAAAAGTTGGTCCACGAACTGTACTGTTGTAAATAGCTCATGCTCGAAGGCTTTGGAGCAAATAACAGTGAAATGTCGGCCACATTATCTACCCCGAGAGTTCACAGTGACTTTTATCACAGTTGTTTACATTCCTCCGGACGCTAATGCTAATGAATCACTACAGGAGCTACATGATATCATCAGCTCGCTGCAGAACAAACACCCCGAGGCTCTTTACGTGGTAGCCGGAGACTTTAACCACGTGAATCTAAAGGACTGTCTCCCAAGCTTTAATCAGCATGTGACGATTCCGACACGTGGAGACCGCACGCTGGACCGTGTTTACACGAACGTAAAAGATGCATACAAAGCCGAACCCCGCCCCCACCTAGGACTGTCAGACCACATCTCAATCTTCCTGGCTCCTGCTTACATGCCCCCGCTGAGACGCTCCAGACCGGTACAAAAGAAAGTTAAATGTTGGAGCCAGGACAGTGGACCCATACTGAGAGATTGTTTTGATTGAACAGACTGGCAGGTTTTCAGAGAAGCTGCTGAAAATGGAGGTTCGCTTGATCTTGACCAATACACATCCTCAGTACTGGGTTACATTAGTACATGTACTGACACAGTCTCCACTATCAGAAATGTTAAAAGCTACCCAAACAGAAAACCTTGGCTGAATGCAGAGGTGCGCACCCTGCTGGAAGCCAGGAACACTGCCTTCAGGTCTGGAAACTCAGAGGAGCTGAGTAGGACAAGAAAAGAGCTGGTTGCTGGTATTAAGAGGGCCAAGGCCACATATGCAAAGAGGATCGAGGGTCAATTCATCTCACAAGACCCTCGGAGCATGTGGAGGGGCATTAAGTGCATAACAGATTATAAAGGAAGGAGTGAACAATGCCCCAAAGACCCATCTCTGCCTGATGCCCTCAACAAGTTCTATGCATGCTTTGAAGACCCGAACAGACCACCCAGCACCAGACTCACCTCACCACCGGATGAAGAGCATCTCAGCGTGACCTCAGCAGAAGTAAGGAGTACCTTCAGGAGGATTAATCCGCACAAAGCAACTGGCCCAGACAACATCCCCGGAAAAGTGTTTAAGGAATGTGCTGATCAGCTCTGTGAGGTGCTGGCAGACATCTTTAACACCTCACTTACCCTGGAGACAGTTCCCACCTGCCTGAAGACTGCCACCATCATCCCAGTCCCAAAAAGCTCTACAGTGACTGGTCTGAATGACTATCGGCCAGTGGCCCTCACCCCAATAGTCGCTAAATGCTTCGAAAAACTGGTCATGACTCACATCAAAAC